ATGTTTGGTTATAATCACTTAAGGTATTTAAGCTGCAGAACACTAGCCTTGGCAGCCCCTCTGGAAGTTGGTTCAGTAGGACACTTACGGTCCTTTCTCTCTGAAGGTCCACAGCCTGTTGTGGGGAACAGGTCTGCGTGTGAGTCCTCAGCCGGTTAACTTAATCCTCTCCAAGCCTCATTTTTTCCATCTGTAAAATGGGGATAACGGTACCCACGCTGGGTTGTGTGAGGAGTAAAGGATAACGCACACAAAGCTCTTTGTTCACTAAATGTCCCAAGAGTGGGGACATCTTGGTGCCCCCATGTCCTGTCCTCACGGCCTGTCTCCAGGTGTCCTTGCTGGAGTTCAGGCTGTGAGTGCACACACACAAGTTCAGGCTTGTGGAGGCAAGAAAATACCTGTCATCCCTAAGGTGTGTTTCCCTACCGCTCATAGTGTCACAAACTCAAGAGATCCCCTTCTTTGACTTTCCTGCCTGAGTTTCCCCTTGTGGATGAGACCCCGGAATATTTGCCTCCCAGTGAGCATACTTTTTTTTTTTTTTTGGTCCGGCAAAGTGCTTGCAATGTAACAGTTATTCAATAAATATTTGTGAAACAAAGGAAGTTCCAAGAACTGTAGTAAGAAAAGATGAATCATGATCCCTGACCAGAAGAAAATGAAATTAATATTTGCAAACCAGTTAGACACCATGATAATTGAGAAGTGCTGGGTCTGAATTTCAGTTTCCCTAACCTAGACTTTTATGCACTACAAAATATCAAAAATAGTTTTTCTTTCAGGACCAATATTAGGCATATTTTAAGTTTTAGGGGCAATAAGAATGTACCACTGAACTCTTTGCAAAAGGTTTCTCCCTTCTCAGTTGTTTTCTGGAAAAAATTTTTTTTAAGGAGTTCACAATTTCAGTCATAGAGATAAAGAGCTTAAATGCTTTGTTTTGCTAATTGGAAGAGTTAAGATAAAAAAGATTTACTAGTTCCTTTCTTGTTTCTCTGGGTCAGGGATAGGAGGGCTCTGGATGCCTAAAGGAAGTAACATAAATGTCACTGAAATAATGCAAGAGTACAGAAAGGGTACATTACATTTTAGACTTCTGCATGAAAAAGTAAACATAGAAGTTGTGTTCAGTCATTTCAAACAATCACGAACACCATCTCAGCGAGCATGCTTATTCATCAAATGTATTTTAATGGAGTTATTGGGGTTCTAGGTAAAGATTATGCAGCCTGAGGTAGCTTCCTAGTACTTGGCGATAGTGGAAAATTAGGAAGATAGGAACCTCACCATCTTTTTCTCTTGGGATTTAAAAGCTTCCCTTGAATGCTGTTCCTTCTGCCGTTGGCTCCTCTCTGTGGCTTACAGACAGACTTCATTAGAGGCAGGCAGACAGGCTGCCACAGTGTCCGCATCTTAAAACCATGTGGTGGTGTGTGTTTTCCTTTCTTTTCCTTCTTGGAACTTGTGTCATAAATGTAATACGTATTTGCAAATGCAAGGTGGCAGTTTCGACTCAGAAACATGCAGGAGAGTTGACAATTAGGGCATTTTCCTCAGCTTGGACGCCTGCTGAGGGTTGTTTGAGTTTTCCTTTTAAAAAGAGAAACACGCGTTTTTCTTATTTAAAGACCAGGAAGGAATCCGGTGCCACGAAGTTTGTTCCTTTGCACACGATCACACACATATGCACTCGGTGCATTTGGCTGGGGCTTTCCTCCTCAGGCTATTTTGTTGGCCCTTTCGGTTCCTTGACACAAAGATGGCCCAACTCAGCACATAGGTTATGACTTCTGTTAGTTTCACACTTGGAGGTTTTCTTTTTTTCTTCTTTAAAAACAAACAAACAAACTATTAGAGAAGTACATTATCTTAGCAGCCCACTGTATTGGCCAACCTTTTGAAAAGAGAAATGGGCCGACGTGGGCTGGGTTTGAGATGGTTGCAGGTGGAACTAGGGAGCAGGGTCAGGGACTCAGCGTGGCTCTCTGCCTGTGGGCAGAGGAAGCCCGTCCCCTGGGTGCTCCCTGAGTGCCAGGGGTGATGTCTGGGTGGAGACGCCGTGCACTTTATTTATAGCCTGCCTTATTCTAGAAGGGGCTTTAGGTCCCTTAGCACACTGGATCCCACAGGAAGCTTGTAGAGGTTAAGCAGCTTTTCCAAGGAAATTACAGCAGTTGAGGTAGCAGAGGGATGAGAGTCCAAGGCTGCCCAGCCCCAGATTGGTTTCGTACAGCATGTTGTCTTGATTCTTGGGAGGGAAGCAGAATTCTTAGTTTCCTGATTTAAATTTAAACTCAAATGGACCTAATTCTGAAAGACCTGGTGTGTGTTAGTGAAGGCTACTGCCTTTGCGTGGGCTGTCCTTCAACACAAAAATAATGATTTGTTGTTAGGTCCTAATTCCATCCTCCCTCAGGGAGGGAGTCTCATTCTACGTGAACAAATAGAGTGACCCCACGACCCTCAGCTTTCACACCATCGTCACACTGCTGAGGCTGAAGGATACACGGTGGCTTTGAGTTCAGGCATTGAGGGAGAAAAGGAAGATGCCTCTTTAGAAACATCTGGGGAGGTTTTTCTCTCGGCCTGTGGGTTTTCCTGAGGATCAGATGCTCAGAAGGCCCTCCTTCCTCCCCATCTCACCGACACACTTCTGTCTCACCACCTGCCCTCTCGAAAAGCGGGGAAGCTGGACGACTCTCTGGACGTTCCCTCTCATGGCTTGGTTCCATCCGCGAGAAGTCTGCTGCGGTAATTTGGACATGACCCCACTGCAGGAAGAGTAACGGGCATTTGTTTTCAGATGTGAGGGCTGACCAGGGGTGAAGGAGCTGGTCTTCGCGTCCCTTACGTGGAAAGGCCTGAAGGGTTACTTTGTCCTCTTAAGTTCTCCTCTTTCTTCTTGGGTTCTCGGAAGCTATACCTTGGCTTCAGGACTGTGTTGCCCGTCTGTGCTAATAAATCCATCTCCTGTCATCGATGGAGGGAAACAAGGTGCAGCCTTATTTTATCACCAGGGTTGCACTTGACCCTGTGCCATGTGCTGTCCTTTGCCCCTCGGTTGTTCTTACTGACACCTCTGTGACGTGGACAGTGCTGTCACCCCACTGACAGGGGACGAAGGTCCCCGAGTGAAGGAGATGCCGGGTGGGCACAGCCGTGGTGCCCGAGCCGGGCCGGGAGCTCTGTCCTGCAACTGCAGAGGGTCATCGGCTCCGTGTGTCCGTGTGAGCACAGCTGTGGGTACCGCGCTCAGGACGGTGAGCTTCCAGAGCCTGGAACCCACGGGTGGAAACTTGAAACGAGCGAGTCAGAGGTGGACACATCCACGGACGCTGGCTGTTAGACGGACAGGGAGTAAGTAAACCGTGGCCGTTTGAGTCGGACACGTGGGCCCGGGTGCCATGAGCAGACGGCTATTTCCTGACACAGGGTTGGTCCCGCCGTCTCCACGGTGGGGCTGTTCCCCGTGCCAGGTGGCCCCTCGGGCCACGTCATGTGCCGAGTGGGGACCGACAGACAGGGTGACGTTCCTTTCAGGACTGTGAGTCACCCAGCTGTGAACAGAGCCGCGGTGCAGGCTGTGCCCTGGGCTCTGGGGATGCAGGGGAGTGTGATGCGGGCACGAGGGCCAGTGGGCCTGCGGAGGCTAGGTGGCTGGAACGGCAGCTGGGGACTGGCATTGGGGCCGGTGACCAGGCAGGAGGCGGGGCTCCTGGGACTGGCCTGTGTGGGACCCTCTGCACCGCCTGCGGCAGAGGCAAGGCTTCTTCAGGCGTCTGGCTGTGGATGACGGGATGGGGCCGCCCTCCTGAGCCCGAGGACGAGGACGGGGTCTCTGCAGGCGCGTGATGCTGGAACGAGGTTCCAGGCCTGTGAACTTCATTTGTCCTGCTTTCCCCTATCTAGGCTGTCGCCCAGCCCTGCTTGGTGAGCTCCTGGGCCGGCGCTGGACCCCATCCCGCTGTGACCACAGAGAGTTGAGAGAGAGTTGTAATTCAGTGTCATTTTCATGGAACTGTTTTGTCCAAGTTGTAATTTGAGTCCCTGCCCAAGCTTTCCAGAATAAGTGGAGAGCTTTCCTCAGGTTTCAGGTTCTAAAGTTCACAGCTCTTTCTGTCACGAGGCCACAAGTGAGGCCGGCTCTTGGAGACTGTGGGGACGTGCCTTCTGTTTCACGTTTGCGGCAGCAGGAGCATAGTCCACAAAGCCCTTGAGGAGCCGGGGCTCACGATGTCAGGGTAGCTCTTTGTTGCTCTCCTGAGAGATTCCCAGCAGAGCATTGCAAGATGGGTAGGGATTAAGTCCCTCCCTCCTGGTCTGGGGGAGGGGACAGGAGAGCTGCATAAGGCTTGTTTGAAATGCTCGTGATATAAATGGATAACAAACGTTTAGGTTCTAGACTGGGAATTACGACACAGCTGTCAGACCACGCTCTCTCTGTGCCCCCCATCTCTTTGTGTACCCCCTTTATTCCGAGTAATTACGCTCCAGCCTCCCTGCATTGGGATCACAGGAAAGCTTCGAAGAAGACTGTCAGTATAACTTGTAAAATCAAGCAATGGGTATTGGGGGTATACGAGCGGAAAATGACTGTTACCCATTTTTGACGATAAATATCCAGACGCTTTTGGTCATTTCCTTCATGTGGAATGTTGAGAAGGGGAGGCTGGTCAACCTGATGTGTGGAAGAAAACATTATTTAAGTTGTTCAGACTGAGAAGTAATGATACGTAAATGAAGCCCGGGAAAGAAAGAGGGAAATGATTCTTTATCAAAACTCCTTTGTTCTACTGATTGTTTGGTTTATTAAGTGTGGTTCACGAGTCTTACAAACCAACAGAACCATACTGTTCTATTGGAGAGCATAGGACTCTTTCATCATCAGTTTTGGGGAAAAAGTACAGAAGAGGTGACTTGCCGAAACTTCAGCCATTCTGTACTAATGACTGTGCAGAACAGCCGTGCCCATTCTCTTTCTTTTTTCTGTTTTTCAGGGTCGACATGTTAAAACAGGTCAGCTGGCAGCCATCAAAGTTATGGATGTTACTGAGGTAAGCTTGGGTCACAAGTGTTTTTAAAGAAATCGTTAGATGAAAAACAAGGATCCCCCCGTCTCTCCAGCCCACCATTTAAAAGGAATTGTTGTGTTTGGAGAATCAATCTTAAGCAAATTGCATTCATGTGACACCATGGGTTCAGAAGGGCCAGCAGATGAGCTGGCCGAGGTTGTTGCAGATGGGTCCCAAGTAACTAAGAATCAGTAGCATTTTCTTTAAAAAAAAAAAAAAAAGCAAATCTGAGTGATGTCATCCTTGACAATATAATGGACCATAATTGGAAACATCTTCTGTAATGGCAAAGAAAAGATTTGAGAAGGGATCACAGAGGTCACCTGAGTAGGGAGGTTGAGGCTGGTGGGTGGGAAAAGCTTCTCTGGGGTATTAGGGCCACATTTGGGCCATTTCTTTTATTTTTAACATGGGGAAGGAAAACAGATACAGCCAAGTTCCCAGAGGTTTGAAAAACAGAAACATCTGCTAGAATGCTGAGCAGATTGTTGGCAAAATTTAGTAGCAAAAAATAGTCCTTGAAATGGTCACACGAGGATTTACTGTGTAGCTTTAGATGGGAAAGAGGAGAAATTAGCTCTAATGAAAGGTAAGTGTGCGAGCCCGTGTGTGTGCGTGTACGCATACTCATGGGTCCACACTTAATTAAAAAAAAATAGCCATGGGCCAAATCCATTCTACTTTAAATTATTTTCATCTGAAACTTTATCCACTCATGATTGCTTCTAACTTGCCTAATTATGAATAAGATTTACATCGTATATCACAGATTCTAGAGTGAGTTAACCAGAAACCGTGAGGATTTGGGATGCCTTTAAATCAAGCCCTAATCTCCTAAGCCTGGGGTCCATTGAGGGCGAAAATGGCTAAACTGGTCTCAGGTGTGCGGTTGATCATCTCGAGGGGCTCCTCTCCACCCCCTGCTCCCCTCGGTCTCTAGTAACATGCATGCATATTGTTTTAGTAAGAATTAGAAATGTTGTCTCTGGACCACGGGGCAACTGGTAGAACCTTATACAGATATTTGAAGATGTGACATTTTATGCGGTGACTGCTCTCTTTTCTCTGTCATTTTTTAATAATGGAAAAGTACCATCGCTTGGCTGGCCGGAAGATTCTTGTAACCTCCTGGGCGATTCTGTTGCGTGCTAGTGATCCTGTTGGATTCTTTCCAGTTAAATGTTAATTTTAAGATTACAGAGCAGTGAAGGAGCAGCCAATTCTGAGTTCCTGTGACTTAAATACCACAGTCGGTTATTGATGAAGTGCCCTGTGCGTGGACCGATCGGGGCCCTTCCCACCGGGCCTCTGTTCACGCTTCTGTGCAGGTGGCCGGTGGTGTCGCTGGAGCCTGCGTCGCCTGACAGTTATCCGCACCCTCCTGACTCGGTTACTGCCAGACTTGGGGTACCATTTTAAACGTAATCTTTGGGAATTCTCTGACGCATTTGCCAGCCCTGAGAGTTGAGGTTCTTTCCTGGCTTCAGCGCATGCTGCCCTGGCTGACACGCTGCTGACATCTCCAAGCGCATCGAAGTGAGCTTGTCAGCTCTGTGGATGTCCTGTGCAACGTATGATCATTGCTTTAAAGTAAAAAGGCACGTTAAATCCTCATTCTTCCCCCACTTAGAGTCATCACTGTTGGTGCCCTGGTGTGTTTCCTCGCCATCATCTCTCTGTGAGCACGGCTGTAAAACACGTACCCCGTGTGTGTAATAGACATTTTTGGTGAGCTGCATACAAGAGGTGTTTCCTTGCCTGAAAAAAATCAGGCAGTGTTGGACAAGTGCATTTTCAAGATTCCTTTAAAAATAATTATGCAGAACCCCTGTGTTCAGGTAAAATGAAAACCAGACGGTGAGTCTTCAGAACAAAATACAAACCCAGTCAACCATTTACTGTGTTGTCCTCTCAGTACTGTTTCTTGTGTGCTGTTTTCATGCGGTGACCTCTCTACAGAGTGACCTTGGTGCTGTAGCTTGGGGCACACTCAGCGCCCCGAGCAAGTGTGATTGTGGGTGGAGAGCTTGTGCAGCTGGGCCCCTGGAGAGCAGGCCTCCCACCCTCCACATCAAGGGCCTGCCTCTCGGCTCTTCTTGCAAAGTTGAGGGCATTGGCCGGGGTGGGACCTGGGAGCAGGCGGGCAGGAGGGAGAATTTGCAGCTGATGTTTCTTGTTGCAGCTCCAGCAGGAGGGGCTGTTGTAGAGGGCTCTGTGGCTGAGAGCGAGGTCCTGCGTGGTTTCATCTCGGGAGCAAAAAGGTGTGGATGCTTATCCTTCGGAAGCATCACAGACTCGTCCTGCTGGTTGAGCCTCTTCCTTAGGTGAAATTGAGAGGCAGTTACCAGGCTACTGGTTATTCCTCAGGTTCCGAAGGCCAGAGGAGAGCAGGTGTGGGGAGGGAGGTGGCCCGGCTGCTCTGCCCCCAGCTGTCAGCTGTCGGCAGCCCTGAATAAACGCACTCCAGGCCGGCTGCCCCGAGTCCGCGTCACCTGCTGCGCTTGATTATGTGACCCTGGAAAACAAAGCAGACCGAGAATTCACGTTTCACCCTGGGGTGAGGTGCCAGGGGCTGTCTGGGAAACTGAGGAGTCCAGAAAGGAGGCATTTATTTGCTCGAGATGGACAAATGCCTTTATGTTTCTTCTTGGGCTTGAACTATTTTAAGAATCAATTTTCTTTAGGATTTTGCAGGGTTCTTTTTAAAGAAAGCGTCTCACTTACCTGATTGGTGGTGGGAAGGGTTGAAGGACGTGTTCAAACTGGACAAGACCAGGACATGAGATCTATAATGTGTTGTTTTTGTTTTTTAGATAATTATAGATTCACAAGAATTTGCAGGAAAGTATACAGGGAAGCTCCTTGTACCCTGCACCCAGTTTCCCCCAGGGGTAACATCTTGTATAACTATAATACAGTGTCACAACTGAAGTCCTGCACAAAACAAAGCCAGCTAAGGATTTGACCAGGACTCCAGTGTTTGTTAGATTATAGCAAATATGTCTGCCTGCATGGCTTAGAACCAAGGCAGCCATGGAGAGTCAGCACTGATACAGTCCACAGAGCTTATTCAGATTCCCCAGTTTGACATGCGCATGTGCGTGTGTGGTGTGATGCGTTTTGAGGGATACTTGAGTTGGTTGTTTGAATTCTTGGTAGCCCCTTCATTTCAATCTTTGTGTCTCAATGTCAAACTTGTATTATTCCCATCATGCATAAGGGACTGAGTTTGTTTCTTGCAGTTGGGGTATCACATTGTTTCTATTTAACACTCTGGAAGGTAAAAAAAAGAATTATCTAGATCAGTAATTCTCAACTCGAGGTCCATAAACTCTTTAGGATTTGTTTCTGAGAATTGAATTTTATGTTTTCATTTTAATAATTCCCACCCAACTTTTTATTATGAAAATGTTCATAATTACAGAACTGTTCAGAAAAAGAACGTTCTCTACCCTTCGCTAGATTCGACAACTGAACATTTCATCTGTGTGTGTGGTACATGCGTATTGTTGTGATGCCAAGATGCTTCACTTGTAAATACTTGAGCACACTTCTCTTAAAACACAGTCATAATCATAATACCACCCGAGAGGATGAAGGATTTCAGATTGTCACCTAATGTTGTCAATTTTAATATCCTCAGTTGTGGCGAGAAAGGTTTTCTAACCATTTTTTCCCAGTCATAGTCTGGTGGAGGTTTATGCATTACATTTGGTTATCTTCTCTCTCTTCTTTTAAGATCTATTTTAAAAAGTTGAAGCATAGTTAATTTACAGTGTTGTGTTAGTTTTAAGGGAACGGCAAAGTGATTCAGTTATACATACACATACGTATATATATTCCTTTTCAGGTTCTTTTCCATTATAGGTTATTCCAAGATACTGAGTGCAGTTCCCTGTGCTCTGCAGTAGGTCCTTGTTGTTTACCTGTTTTATATATAGTAGTGTGTTTATGTCAACCCCCCCAAACCTAATTTATCATCCTCCACCCCACCCCCCATTATCCTCTTTGGTAATCATAAGTTTGTTTTCTATGTCTGTGAGTCTGTTTCTGTTTTGTAAGTTTATTTTTACTGTTTTTTTAGATTCCACATATGCGTGATATCATATGATATTTGTTTTTCTCTGACTTACTTCACCCAGTCTCTGTGTCCTTCCACATTGCTGCAAATGGCATTCATTAGTCCATTCTTTTTAATGGCTGAGTAATATTCCATTTTATATATATCCATCGACAGATAACTGGGTAGAGAATGTGAGGTACATATATATATATATGACGGTTAGCTTATCTCTTAAGTCACTTTAGATCAGTTCCTCTGCACCTCCATGTCCCTCCTACTCTTTTTTTTTTTTTTTTTTAAGAGAAATCGACTTTTGGAAGAGCTCAGCCCATTGTGTGGTAAAATACCCCACATTCTGGATTTGTCTGATAGTTTCCTCGTGTTGTGCTTTACCTTGTTCCTCCTCCTGTATTTCCTGTAAACTGGAAATTAGGTCGAGGCTTGAATAGACACAGAATAAGAATTTTTTGGCAAGAACACCTCATTGGTGTTCATTGGGCTCTTCCTATTCCGTGACCTCGGGGGGGCATGCCCCTCCTGGTTGTCCCAGTGTTAGTGAAGCCAGTTTGACCTCTTGATGGAGGAGGCGACTGCAGAGTTACCCACCGTCGAGAGGCGCCCTCAGCTCTGCACTGGGAAGTAATCTGCAAGGTGGTGGTTTTCAGAGTCTGTCTTCTAGGCTTGTTAGCTTGCACCAGTCTGTAAAGAAGAGTTTCCTTTCTTACCCACTCCCACCCTTTCTTACCTTCCTTCTTATTCTAGATACTGCTGTAGACATGGGCAGTTTTATTTATTCAATGTGTTTCCATCAGTTGTAGCTGCCATTAGTATTATTTAATGAAATCGTGCCAGGTCTGGCCATGGGAGCTCTTTCAGGACTGCCTTCTGTAGCCCTTTGATATGACCCCATTAGTTTTTG